CAAACGGCATGACCAGGAACTCATAGTGTCCGTACCTAGTTCGGAAGTCGTCTTGGGGATGTCTTTGCTCTTACTTTTACATGATGGTAAACTGATCGTAGATCTATTTAGAAAAGACCCGTGCACCCTGCAACTGATCGAAAAGGTCATCAATTCGGGGAAGAGGATATTTGTTCTTAATTGTTACCTTGTTTATCCTTTTGTAATCAATGCACAGTCTCAACGTTCCATCTCCCTTCCTTGCAAAAGTAACCCCGGCACCCCACGGGGAAACGCTGTGTCTAATGAAACCACTGTCTTATAGCTCAATGATCTGTTTCCTTAGTTCTTCCATCTCGATGCGGCTCATTCGGTAAGGAGCAACCGAGATTGGCTGGGTACCTAGCTGTAAGTCTATGGTGAACTCGACCTCTCTGTCCACTGGTAGACCGGGCAGTTCATCCGAAAATACATCTGGAAAGTCTCGGACTACTGAAATTTCTTGGATACAAACTTCTTTCTTGGGTTTACCTAGTTAGAGAAAATACAAGATTAAGGTACTGGGAATTAAGAAAACTTGCCATAAGGGGAAATCAGTACTGAATGATTTTATTAACTTATAAATGGCTCCTCGTTGGGAGGATTAAATACAATCTTTTTGTTAAAGTAGCCTATGGTGGCGTGATACGCCGCTAACCAATCTATTCCTAGGATTACATCAAAATCCCCCGTGTCTAACCCTATCAGGTCTACCCTCAATTTCCTATCTGCTATCTCCACGGCACATGCCATGTAGATAACCTCTCCTAGCAATGTCTCCCCCCCAGCGGTAGATACAAGCAATAATGAATCAAGTCTATCAGGTGATACACAGATTTTGGAAGCAAGAACATGTGAAATAAAAGAATGTGATGCACCAGTATCAAACAAAACATGAGCAATGTGGCCAGAGATAGTATACATACCATGTACCACGTCCGGGTCTGCGTCGGCATCCTTCTGGGTAAGGTTGTAAACTCTGCCCTGGATTGGAGGCCTTCTTTGATTCTGGTTCCTAGGGCATTCACTTGCATAGTGCTGGGCACTGCCGCATATGTGATAGGTGTTGTTGAGGCGGTAGCAGGGTCGGTCTCCGTGATCCCTGCCGCAGTACTGGCAGATCTTCCCACGTGCTGCCCCCGTAGCCTGAGAAGGGGCCTGGATGGCGGGTCTGGGCCTCTTACTGGGTTGGACAGGCATGGTAGGTGCTGGCCTGCGGAGCGGGGCTGAGGGTCGGGAACTCCCCGCTAGCTGAGGGTGGGTGTCGAAGCTCATTTCTATGATCTGCGCCTTTGCCAGGACTGCTGAATATGTCTCGAGCTCCATCACCAGTAAGTGCTGTCTGATCTTCGGGCGGAGAACCCACTGGAATTTCCTGGCCTTTCGGCCCTCATCCATCAATGTCTTCGGGGCATGTCGGCCTAGCTCCAGGAACTTACGGGCATACTCCGACACTGTCATGTTTCCCTGGACCAATTGAGCAAACTCTATTTCCTTTAGGTGTTGGATGTGTTTAGGGAGATACTCCGCGTGGAAGGCCGCTAAGAACTGCTCCCAAGTAGCTGGTGTAGGCAGGGTGGTTCGCTTGAGCTCCCACCAGCGTACTGCTTCCCCTACCAGCATGCAGGAGGCAATGGCAGCCCTCTGCTCAGGAACTACTCCCAAGGTCTCGAAAGCTCTCTCAGTTTCTGCCAGCCAGTATTGGGCCTCTTCAAAAGAGGATCCCCCTGCAAAAGTAGAAGGGTTCAGTCTTCTGTACCTCTCTATGAAGCCGGGGTCGATCAAGGAAGGAGCGGGGTCCCGAGGTAGAGGGGCTGGGGCCGGCTGAAGGTGAACTGGGGGCCTTTCTCTCCTCATTTCCGTGTACCTGCATTCACAAGGAATGGTTGAGTAACGATATATCGGTGAGTATTTCTCTAAGGCGCTATTGTGTAAGGGATGGGTCCGAGGAAATGCGGCTCTGATACCAACTGTAACAGCCCCGGAAATTTAAAACGAAATATGTGTATTAAAAATGTCAAAGGCGGAAGCGAAGTCAAAATTTCGATTAACATCCCTTACACTAAAACAAAAAACGTGCTCAAAATATAAAAGATCAAACTAACTAAAAGAGAAACTCGAAAGTAAAAGCTATGAATATGACTATGGAGTCTTTAGGCGTCCCCTTCGTCGTCTCCCTGCGGAACGGGCTCGGGAACGATGTCTTCCTGATCTGAAATGATTAAATAAGGAATGAGCTACACTACCCCAGTAAAGACATCACGATATCTCACCGTCACGGAGGTA